TGAGCAGCTCGCAGCACAAAGGGTTCACCTGGGTGTTTGGAAGCAGGATACTTCCCTGGGCTTCCATTTGTGTTTTGAAAGTTGTTGCAAATAACACTTTTATTATAGAGAAAAAATGCTGTAACTTCTGGAAGAGGAAGCTGTGAAAAATGGAAATGGGGTCTTCAAATACCGCTTACTCCGTAATCTCTCTGGACACTGATTGCTCTGTGTCCCGGCAGTCCCCGGGCGCCGCGCAGGGCCCCACGCACCCAGACCCGGCTGCATCTATTTATGCCTTTCCCGGGAAATTGTGTGTTCCCGGGTGTTTTCCAGGACAACCCGCTCTCTCGCACGCGGATGTGCACCACAGTGTTTAAATAAATCCTGCCAGAACGCGACGCAGCGCGTGGCGCGGCGCAGGACTGCGGCAGGAAAAAAGGCGGCGGGGCCGTCCCAGCCAGGGCAGTGCATCCGTATCCGTGCTCCTTGCGGAGCGCCGCGCGAGCCTCCCGGTGACACAGTTCCAACCGGCGGGCTATTTTTAGCCGCGTTGCTTGGAAATTGGCTGTCACGCTGGTGGCGTTGGAATAAGGAAGAGCCCCGGGGCGCTCGGCAGCAGCGGGGAGGGCAGCGAGGCCGGCAGCGCCCGGCAGGCCCCGCGTTGCAGCGCGGAGATGGAGCCGCCGCGCTGCAGTCGGAGAGTGCGTGTCAGCGCCGCGGGGACATATGGTCGGGTGGGTGTTGGGAGGAGCCGCGGGGGACTCGTGCGTCTAAAGCAAAGGGCGAGGGGGGTTTTGTTGCTGGCATCATCTTTCCAGACGGTGCTGTTTATTTGAAAATAACCGGGGACACGCGTGTGCGGCCCCGCACGCTGCGCGCCGCGCGGCGCGGGCTGGGGAGAGGCAGGCAGCTCGGTGCAAAAGCGGCTCCCGGCGAGCGCGCAAGGCGGGAGCGCTGCAGAGCCTTCCAAAATGGTCCGTTTTCCTGCGGGGAGTATAAAAAAAAGGTTAAAAAAAAATAAAAGTCCACCACCACCAGGCCACATTCTCAGCGGAAATTGCAGCCACGGCATTAGGCATGCTTTGAACATTAAGCAGTGTGTGCAGTGGGCAGCCGAGGAGCTGGCGTTGGTATTTGTTATTTTTCCAAAATATGGAAAACACTGCAAAATTGAGTGCTGAGCTCAGAAGCATCACGCTGTCTGCAGGGCGTCAGAAAACCGCCTGCCTGCCTGCGGGTGATGAAAAATTGCCCGAAGAACAGGTCCAGCTGATAAAAAATGTATTTATATTGGCTCTCACTACTATTTTTTAATGTCAAGATAGCACTTGGGAGAACAGCGCGGTCTGCATAAACCGGGGAGGTATTTATAGCAGCAGAGCATAAACAGTGTCTAAATGGAGAAGCAAAGCAGAAGCCGGGGCTGGCTGCTCCATATGATGAGGAATTCAGATGTTTAGCATGAGATTGATGTTTGCCTGGTGCATAAACGAGCGCTTGGTTGCTGGATTCACCCTGCTCTCCTTCCGCCTCTCTGCGCACCTTGTTATTTACATTTTTTGGTTTTTTTTTTTTTTATACTTTTATGCTTAAGCTGGTTTGTCCTCAGCTTAATGCACCTTGTG